CGCACTTCCCTTTCCAATCCGAATACCACCATTGACGTTCTGGTGGGAGGTTTCGACTGCACTGTGCGGCGCTTCGCCTTGGAGAAGGAGAACTACCGAGCGCGCGGTATATTAGACGTCAGTAAAGCAGTTAAAGTGAGTAATTGAGATTCGGGCGTTCTGACCAACACATCTCTCGATTCAGGATGAAAACTCTGCGTTGCCTTTGGCATTCAATCCTCCCTTTGTGAACTGCATCGAATTCGATCCATTTGCGAACGACTCGGCCGTGGTCGGCACTGGTAACGGCTCCCTGTGTCTGATGAGGTTTCGAGGTGACTCGATCAACTTGAAGGATTTCAAAACGAGCATACTCAGGGTACGGTCATTAACCAGCGTTTGTTGGTCAGTTTCGTTCGAGGATGTATCGCTGCTCCTAAGCATCCATTGCCGCTCAGATACCCGGTCATAGTCAGTCCATAGCCGATTTGACCTACCTGCGCGGCCGCCACGTAGCGTCTGTTGGCTCTGATGGACGCCTCGCACTGTCATCTCTAGTCGGGCAAACACCTAGGGTTCTACAGCAGGTTGACCTGGGCTGGAAACCTTCCGCGGTTCGTGCTGTGGGAGAAGACGATTTAAGCGTTGTTGTCGGCGGAGTTGACGGTCAACTTCAATGCTTCCACATACGTCCATAGACGAGTTCACCAGACAAGGCAAAGAGTGTTGTGCATAGTTATGTCGAACACGAGGTCCCTATGTGTATTTCGGGCGAGCGCTAAATCCAGCCGATTTTGCCGTGCATATTCACCATCCTGACTTGCACGAGGGGGAGGGGGAAGATCTCGGGAACTGACACAACGTATACACTCGTGCCCGTATCATCAAGAATGTCACGGCTATTGGTCGCGCAGCACACGGAAGCATCATGTTTAATAGAGCAACGCAATCCATAGTAGTATGGGATGTACGCATGCATGAAAGTGGAATATTGTATGAGTACGACTTTGTGAGGTTAGAGGATACTCTAGTGTTGCTGTTTGTTCTCCACCCATTCACGTGATAGCGCAGCCCAGGCTTATCGCTTCCATCGAAAGTTCATCATGGCTCCAAATGGAACCTTTGCGACGGTGATGGACACGTCTTTGCCTCTGCTGTTGTTTTCATAGCGGTGTGTGGCACTGGTAGATACATATCGTTATCACCGGCGGCTCTCGCTAAGTATTGTGTTAACGATACGACCATGCAT